CTCTGACATCAGGATGTGAATGTTCATTTTGCTTGATCTTTACTGATGGGGAATTTTTAAGTAGTCTTTAGTATTATTATAAGCAGAAGATGGTATCTCATTGTCTAAATTGTATTTAAACTGCTGGAGAAGCTATTTTCCCAAGTCTTATTTGCTGGTTCTAGTTCCTTTTGCGGGGGGGGATTTGCCTATTCACATCCTTAGTATGTTTCTTAATTGTTTAGTAAAGGAACATTTTTCCTATTTGGAATATAGTCATCCTCCAATATCCATTCCAGAGATTAATTTTTGGAACTGCAGTTGGGCAAAGACGCTGAAAGTTGGTTCCTGATTAGAGAACACGAACAGCCTCAAGGTTCACTGGGGCAGTGGGCGGTGTAGCCTGCTGGCCTGGCTTTTTAAGTCCAGTGTCGCTCGCACGCAGCCCAGCTCACCCATTTCCATAGCACTGCTTTTGTTCTGCTGAGGCAGTGCCCAGTAGTTGGGACAGAGACCACATGGCCTGCAAAGTCTAAATATGTACTATCTGGTCATTTTAAGAAAAGGGTGCAGATCCCCAACCTACAGAACTAGTAATTTATGGTCCAACTAAAGAAACCGGTATCTCCATCATTAAAAATGACTCTATATGTCACTAATGATGGGGAAGAGTACTTTTCTATTATTAAAATGTAAAAGTAGATACAATATTTACATGAATTGTATACCAAAAAAAAAACCCCCACAGAACACAATTATAATTGGGAAAACTCTACACCAAAAGGTTGATACTGGTGATCTTGGGGTGATGAGGTTATTCTCTGAAGGGGAGCGGCTCTTTTAAAGTTTTCTTCAATAAACAGATTTTACTTTTTGTAAAAATGCAAATAATAGAGCTACTGCTTTCCAATGTTCAAAGGTAAATGATTGGGGTACATGAAGAAAAATGTAACATCCCTTCTTTGAAATCATCATAGGAACCACTGCCCCTCTTCCGCCAGAGTCCAGTGCTTGGGCCACCCCTAGGATCATCCTCTTCTCCTTCACTATTCTTCTGAGCCAACTGCCTCAGTGTGGATGGCGTGGTTCCGCGGTCACTACCAAGAAACACCTCTGGTGTCCTTAGCTACTTCTGTTCTGTCATCTGCAGAGCCTCCTTAGCTTTCCAGTGACTGGCTTCGGTGAGCGGTGACCGTGAAACCCGTCCTTCAAACTCCCCTCTTCCACAATAGCCTCTGAAGAGAAAGGCTTACCTCTTTCACGCACACCTTCCTGTTACAGCATCACCTAATGCCTTTATGTGTTAGGAAGTCAACACTGCCATGTCTTTACTAATTCTTTTTCCAATAAATAAAATACCCCCTGCACTGACTCCTAATTCCTAGAAACATTTAAAACTGAGAAGGGAACTGAATACAAATGTGCTTTTACATCATTTCTTTTGGTTTTTCTTAATAAAAACTACCTTCTTAAGATTCTCTAGGACAATTTTAGCATAACAAATTTATCCAGATTTAAAAAGCTAGATACAAACATTATTTCTCTAACATAGATAGGACCAAAATCAGCGCATCTCGATCTTTTCAATGTGTACAAATCACCTGAGATTTGTTAAAATGCAGATGCTGACTTACTACCGGTGGATAAGATTCTGCACGGCTAACAAGCTCCTAGGCAACATCCAGACTATAGAGCCTCAGACCACACTCTTGAGTAGCAAATGACCATGATCATCTTTAACGCAATGGGTGCAATATAGATGTTTGTAGAGAAGTCCAAATTAATACTACTTTGCAAAGGGAAGTATTTGCAACAAGTATTTCTACATGTACATCACCCTTTAATCTAATGCTCTAATGTCTTGGGGGAAAACTGGTCCAAGTGTTTCTAACAGCTGCTTTTCCATCATTATGGAGTACCCACAACACAAATTCCTTTTCCTCCTGCTTCCCTCCGCTTCTGCTCATCCTTACTGCTGTCTTAAATCCTATTCTTTCAAGGCTACCACTCCTTTGTTAAGTCTACATTAGGCAGGGTTGAGATCTTTCCTACTCTCCAGAGCCCCCTTTCCCTGCCCTTGATTTGGACTGATGCATCCCTCAGCCCCCATCCCCACCCCCCAGGTCTAGATGGTCAGTTCCTTCAGGTGATAGTGAAGTGGTTCTGAGTAACTGCTTCGAGTTACAGCTGGGTTCAAAGCTCAGTTCTGCCATCCACTTTACCTGAGCAAGTAAACCATCTCCAAGCCTGTTTTGTCTGGTAAAATACAAATCATTCCTACATAAAAGGTTGTGAGGATTATAGAAAATGTTTAAAAATTATTTAGCAAAGTGACACCAAAATAATACTAAATGGCGGCTACTATGACAAGAACATAAAGCATTTAGTGTAATTTCTTTTACATGGGTAGTTCTCAAACATTACTTAAAAAGTCAAAATTGTTATGCATTTTAAAGATATTATTTCTAAATAGGAGAAACCCAAAATATTGGACGTTTCTGAATGGCCCAGGACTTGCAAGTTTCTCTCTTCTGAAATTCCCATAGTTTATTTAGGATGTTAGATATCTTAATCTGGAAGATGTGGCAATTCCTCACTTCTTTGAGAGAGCTACCCAAATATGTACAGTAACTGAAAAGAAGGCTTGAAAGGTACCATACTGTTCCAAAATCATAACTAATGTATTCCATAAATACACAATATCCTTCTGTGATAACTTCATGGAAATATAGTCTGAAATTTTATAATTGTAAAAAAACAATGTTCAAAATTCTTCTAGAATTACACAGAATTTTAGTTCTTCCAAAATCTTAAAAACCTTAAAAGTTACTGCAAAAGAGCATACAGCAGAGATGACAAAGACAGAATGATCAAGAAACTTGCAGAACTGGTAAAAACAGCGGTCTAGACCCAAGGCCCATCAAATTCCAGGCACAAAATCAACACCTACATCCAGACACCACAGTGAAACTAATACATCTGGCAAAATAGCCATTTCTGCATGTAGCAAACACAGGCAAGGGAGAAAAGATGAACTCGTGAGCCTGCATAATGGCCAGTTCAACTAGGGGATCTGAAGAAGTAATCCTTTTTTTTTTTTAAGATTTTATTCATTTATTGGCAGAGAGAGAACATGAGCGGGGGGAGGGGGACGGGAAGAGAAAGAAGCAGGCTCCCCACTGAGCAGGGAGCCTGATACAGGGCTCAATCCCTGGACCCTGGGATCATGACCTGAGCCAAAGGCAGCAGCTTAACCGATTGAGCCACCCAGGTGCCCCAGAAGTAATCCTTTTCTGATTTAAAAAAAAAAAAAAAAATGAAACTAGAAGGAATCTTAGTTTTCTAGATTTGAAATCCCATTACAGATGAGGTTATTCATCCTAAATGACGTCATTAGCTTTAGAAAGGTTCTCCTTTGTATCTCTATAATCCCCAAATATAGAATGTCAATAAAGATATAAATTTAGGTGACCTAATTAATATTTTCACATTAACTCTTGAAACAATCCGTAAGTGAGAAAATGCAGCTAGGAAATCATGAGAAAAATCAACTTCAGTAATCAAATAAAGGAACATATGATAAGGCATTATTTCATATCCCTTAAATTAAAGCAATCATTAAAAAGAATTCCCTCTGGCAACCGGATATTAAGGTAAAAATGGGTCACTTATCTTTTTGGCATTTGTAAAAATTAAATCAATCCTTTTACACAGCAGTTTAGTTGAGAGGATACAATGTTAATCCTTATAAACCATTTGTGTGATTTTATAAGAATTTATTCCAAGACCTAACACACATGAAAGGTTATACACAGCGAGGTACTCAATTTACATTAAATTATGAAAAATGATAAATGACCAAGATATACACTGTTCACCCAACAATTCTAAGAAAACCTGATGCCAAACCCTAAGTGTGTAAAGGGGTAGGTAAAAATTCTGATGCTGAAAAATCAGAAGCAATCTCAATGTTCACCATAGGGATGCAAACCCCACATAATGAAACATCATTGGCAGAGAATGTAGATCTATGTTTGAAATTGAAAGAAACCCATGATATATTGAGGAAAAGGTTACAGAATAGTGAACACAGCATGATTCCACTCTGGAAGAGATCTCTGTATTTACTTATATATGGGACAGAGTCCAGAAGTACTTACAATATATCTACACAATAGTATAGTTTTTTAAAAAAGTAATTTTCTGTATTTTCAGATTCTTTATAATAAGCATATTATTTTTACAAGCAGAAAAAAATAGTAAATGTATTTCCAGTTTGGAAGAACACAGTTATGTGGGGAAAGTATCTCAAAAATTAACTAATTGGCTATGATCATAATGCAAGATCTGCTATACGCAAGAAGCAAATACGGAGGGGGAAAACATCCAAAACTAGATCACTTAGGGTAAGACTGTTTTTTTCACTTCCATTAATGTTTGTGAAATAGGTTGTTTTTTCAAAAAACTCACTCTTATTAAAACTGCTGGAACTAGAAGCTTCAAAGTATGAATATAGGAGAGGATGAATTTTAAAGTAAGACAGAATTCTACTCCTGCCACTTACTAAATAACTAGAATCTTGGCCAAATAAAAACATCTACATGTCAACTTTTCTGTCACAAATACTGCCTGCAAAGTTGTTGTGACTATTAAATGATAGCAATTACATGAGATGCAGGCCACAAAATTGGTAATTAACAAATAGTGGCCAAAATACTAAACTGTATGATGTTGACACCTGGTATTTTTGATCTACAAAAACACCAATTTTGAGCTATTATTGTGAAACACTTGATTTTAATTCCCAAGGCTAATTACTATCTAATTTAAACATGTGTTCTAATGACTGAGGAGAATCATACTTCACCATTTGGAAGAGGTCTCATCTTAAAGTTGAGGAACTGGAAGGATCTACATTACAGGCCTGAAGGCCCGTTAACAGCAGAACTGTGATAACTTCATGGAAATATAGTCTGAAATTTGATGCAGGAAATTTGACTTAAGTTCTTTTTCCAGACCCCCAAACAAGTTCAGTAAAAATTGTCAGCATACCATTTAAGGGGGCAGGGGGAGGAAAAAAAGAATTTTAACCCTTTCTCATTAAATGAGACTAAAATAAACATTAGTTTTCCCCTGGGAGAAGGGAAGGTGATATTGGTAGTCATGGTGGAAATAAGGATTCTAAGGAAAGTAAATTTTCTTTTGGGTTCTGGTGATGATTATTAATGAAAATAATTTAAACAGAAATGTACAGAATAATCATGACGGATACAAATAATAGTGACAGCTACCACAAAGACTGGGGTATAAAGAACCAGGCGGTATAGTTCACGATTTATCTGTTAAATTTCTATAGGTAATAGAATGGGTAAAAGCCAATTACAATAAATCTATCTTAAAACCAAACAACATTAACATGTATTTCAAGAAAAAAATGTCATCTTTTAGGGGCAAAAAAAAAAAATCAGTATTGGAAACTCAGTAAAAACACGTGCTTTTAAAAAACAGATGTTTCGTAATGTAAAAAGACAAAAAAGTGAGAAATGTTATTAATGTATAATTAATGGAATAGAAAAGATTAAGTTGGAAGTAGATGCATGAGCTGCTTTACAGAAAATACATAATGTTATGTGACAATTGAAGAGGCTACTCTCAAATGGTACACAAATTGAGGAGTCTTTATTTTGAAAAAATTCTTCCAACAATATTTTACAATGAACAATAACTCAACCAAGTTTATCTACTATACTAAATGGTTTTAGAGATGAATACTGAAATCAGCCTGTAGGTTTTCGGCCCAACACCTAAAACCACCCCCTGCATTAAGATTAGTCTTCATAAATGTTGGCATATTAATAAACACATCTTCCAAAACCTGTCTTTCTTGCTAAAAAGGTTTCCTCCTTTCTTTCAGACTTCTCTGCAAGTCCTTTCCCTCCCTGCACTTAGCCTGAAGGTGCTACAGGACCCCCGCTATCAGCTAGTAGCAGGGGGTATCAGTCCTCATATAAAAACCATCCCATGAAGCACATCCTGTCTTGACTAATGTAAATGCACGTTAAAAAATTCTCTGGACTGGGCGCCTGGGTGGCTCAGTTGGTTGAGCGACTGCCTTCGGCTCAGGTCATGATCCTGGAGTCCCGGGATCGAGTCCCGCATCGGGCCCCCTGCTCGGCAGGGGGTCTGCTTCTCCCTCTGACCCTCCTCCCTCTCGTGCTGTCTCTCATTCTCTCTCTCTCAAATAAATAAAATCTTTAAAAAAAAAAAATTCTCTGGACTCTGCCTAGTCTTTTGAGGAGTAAGAATCACAACTTTTAAGTTATTATCCAAATCTTTTCTAAGGCAAAGGGAACTAATTTTGAAGAATAAAATACATGGTTGTGCCAAAATATTTTACTGTAGTAAATCTATACCGTTTCTTTTTAAATATAAGGTATATATTCTAAGCTAATGTCGATAAGGAAAGGTGCAACACCAGCAAGTAGTAATAGAAAACCACCCCAAAGCACACTTTTAGAAACTTCCAGAGTCATGGGTAGGGACAATGGAAAAATTAAAGTGCAAAATGGGTATGAACTTGCACCACCTTTCAATGACTGACTGAAACCCTTCAAAGTTCAATTAAAAAGCACAGGATTCTTCAAATATCTTAAGATAGTCGATTTGAAGGATTCCCCCGCCCCTTAACTGAAAGAATTTCCTACATGGAAGCATAAGATAATAAACAGCTGGTGAGCCTCAAAGTTGAATGAGGTCTGTTTTATTGAGTTTCCAGTCAGGCAGGGTCAAGACTTATCTTCACATATGCATAAGGACGTTCTCAATTTTTAATGTTTTTAGTAGAAAAATCTATACAAATACTCTTCAAAAGGGACATCCATATAATGAAATCCTGTAGCCATTAAAATAATGAGTTAGAGCTGGATGTGCTACTATGTAAAGAAAACCAAATTAAATAAAAAGAACCAAGTTACAAAATTGTACATTTAAAATAAAGGAGGACAGCAAGAGGACTATATATGTATACAGAGGCATATGAAATAAACGATAACATTTCTGAAAAACTATACAAGAATACAAGAAACTATGTTCCCCTGGGGTGCGGGAATGAAGTCACAGGAAGGAGACGAGATGTAATTTTTCACTTTATACCCTTTATATATTGCATAATTTTTAAAAATCATAAGCATGTTTTATAACACATAAAAAATGTTAAAGTCTTTAAAAAACCTGATTGTACCCACAGCATTCTATGAAACATTAACTGTATTAACATCAGTTTACAATCCTTTGCTGCCATTTATTTAATGGTCATTTAGTCAAAATTAGAAGGCTCCTTGGGTGTGTGCTTCCTCTCCCTCTCTCCACTCAAGATTAAGGGAAAATATTGAGAATTTAGAGTTTAAATCTTAACCTCATTGATTGAACTGTGACTTGGATGACACCTAGTCAAGATTCTAGAGAACCAATGACAAAATTAACTTAAATGGGCATTTTAATCACTAATTAAAATATTTTATCCAAGATCACTTTTCCTTTTTACAAGAGCCTGAGCCACAAGATTTCTCTTTTCATTAAACTCCACAGCCCTTTGAGTTGGACAAGCACAGATTCCAAAAACATAGTATTTTAACACACGTTGAATTCTTATGCAGGGCTAGAAAATAAACAGAATATACAGATGCCAAAAGTTTGAAAAGAAACACATTCTTAGCAAAAGTCTTCACTGGAAATTAATACCATACATTCAAATCCTCCAGGACTCCAAAATCAGAACAATGAGGTTTCATAAGAACCCTCTTACCCAGACACGTGATTTGCCAACTCGAAGGTCTTAAAATACATTTGAATGTTTGAGGCTAAGAAAATTGGGAGTAGGAGGCCAGTGGCCACCTTAAGTGTGCATGTTTTAAAACTATTCAAAAATCCCAGTTCTTAAAACACTGTGCTGGTCAAACAAAAAACTGCAGACAGAATTCAGGGTGTATGTCATGACTGTGCAAGCCTTACCATTAGCACAATAACTGGACTTTTTAATACCAGGGTTCACAATACTTGAGTCTTTCCAGATTAAGTATCACCATGCCCTGTCCACTTATTAAAGTGAATTAGTGTCCAAATGCTTGCTGAATTAACAACATAAACAAAAGGCTCTTCAAATATTGGATACAGTCACCAATAAATTTAATGAACAAGTTGTAGAATTGTGAGTGCTGCACTGGAGTTGGCTTGCAAAGGCTTGGGAGCCTGGTGCACATCTCTTTCTAATTCCAAGTTTAATGACATCAGATTGATAGGTGACATCAGCCATTGTGAGGGTATCTACACCACATATATCAGTAAGCAGTACCAAACAGGGCACTTTTTCGTGAGAGAAAAAGTCTCATGGGCACAACACTAAGAATTACATCTTGGTCATATATTCACTTGTTCAAATATACAATGCAAAATTTTAATTAACGACATTATAATGTTCTAAAATATACAAAGGAAAATTTAACTAATGAGGATGAATTTCATATAATAGGCTAACTTAACACAAATTTTAATAATGGCATCCTTTAGAAAGTAAATTTTAAAACCACCTAGGGCACAAACCGTATCAATAAAAGATGGAATGTTTCTCACAAAATAGGGATCATTGTAACACTTCAGATGGTTTTTTTTTTTTTTTAAAGATTTTATTTATTATTTGACAGAGAGAGACATAGTGAGAGAGGGAACACAAGCAGGGGGAGTAGGAGAGGGAGAAGCAGGCTTCCCCGCGGTGCAGGGAGCCCGATGTGGGGCTCGATCCCAGGACCTGAGCCGAAGGCAGACGCTTAAGGACTGAGCCACCCAGGCGCCCCACTTCAGATGCTTCTTTAGTTTAAAACAAGGTCCACTAATTACCCCATTAATTAACTTGTAAAGTTTAAATAAAAGCCTAGTGAATAAACTGTATTGATTTCATCAAATTATGAATGGAACTCAAATTAAATAACTAAGTTTTATTAGGTATACGGGATACAGAAAGTAACTCTCCTGGAATTTTAAAAGACTTTTTTTAAAGGGCTACTTACACATAAATGTGACAGGCCTTCAATCCAACAATGAAATACTCGCTCTCCAGAGCAAAAGCTCTGTCATTAGCTTAGCCTCCCTATGCCTTGCCTTCTTTCATCCTTAAAGTATGCATCCACTTTAAGGATTGTATAATACATGAAAAGCACTTAGCAAGTTTCTCCTACATTTAAAGGGCTTAATAAATCACACCCCATAATACCACCACATACTTTGAAGTTACTTTTTAAAAAACGTATCTTCACAACGGTCTCCTAGAGATTAATTTTCTGATAGAAGTCTGAGACTGTTGGTGGAGACCAAAGATGAGGTGAGTCATTGTGAACACAGGTTCAGTGAAGGAGCACAACACACAGACGAAGAAGGCCCAAGAAGCAAGGCACAGGGCCCGCCTGGGGATGGAAATGGAGTATTAGCTCAAAAAAGCCTATTTTACAATATGCCAACAATTAGCAGTAACAAAGCCAGAGTTTGTGGTGACTAATTATTGTAAACTATCTTTTAAAGTCACTTCAAAAGAATTTCGAAGCATTCTGTTTAAATGAGAAGCAACAGCAAGTGCTCTCTTTAAAGATGAACAAGGTATAAAAAGCCACTGGTGGGAAAACCATAGGAAACCTCTTTCTAAAGAAGTAAACACATTCCTTTAAATTTTAATAGCGGACTTCCTGGAGGGTAGTGATTTTTTGTTAGGGGAATCCACTTTTCATTAAAAAAAATCCTTTAACTATAGCTAAAATTATTAACTATAAACATGAGAGAGAATAAACTGTTCATTTTGAACTCTTCAGCAAAGCATTTTTTCATTTTTAAAATAGTTATTTGATAGCTATTAAACGATGACACAATTTCAAAGTGGTCGGAATAGTAAATGATTCCAAAATAAACATCAATAACCATGAATCAGAACTGGTAACATCCTTGAAGGACATATTCACCAATGTCATCATTATTAAAACAATTTCAAACAGAAATAGAAAATCCAGAAAACAATATTAAAAATGTTTGCCATTTCAACTCAATGTTCCACTTTTGCCACCAAGCAGGAAGTTCAAGGAGCACTATGTTTACCCTAAAACCACACACTGTTATTCTGGAAAACAGAAATTTAAAGTGTAGCACAGTGGTTTTCAAAGTGTGGTCTGAGGACCTCTGAGAGTCCCCAAAAGCCAAGCGTCACAACTATTTTCATACTACTACTAAAATGTTATAGGTCTGTCTCACTCATGAGTTCACAAGTACACAGTGGAGTTTCCCAGGGCCCGCATGCCACGTGACAGAAAAATCACTGTGACACCAAGGGAGCAGGAGAAACTCACTGCTTCTCAGGCCAGGTGCAACAGAGATGTGCAAAACATAAAACAATGTTCTTCTCATTAATTAACTGCTTTTGGAAAACAGCTAGTTTTTATTTAAAAATGGCATTTATGTTAACATGCAATGGGTTTATTATTGTTATATTTAAATGAATAAACACGTGTTTTAAGTATCTCAGTATTAATTTCTAATACAGTAATTTCTGATAGATACAAGCTACATAAACAAAAGCTCTTTAGGTATCTTCAGTAATTTTTTTAAAAGAAATGTTTGAGAACTGTGAGTGCTGCCATACAAAAGCAGCCAGTTAGCATTCTCTCCACTTTCCCAACTTCCAGGAACTGTACCAAAGAAGGTGTGTGCTGGGGGCTAGGGCAACGCACAGGTAAAGCACTGAGAGGCTTCCTCAAATTTACAAAAGGAATTATTTTAAGGAAGAAAGTGATTGCCTAATCTCTACTGTCACAAAAATGAGAATAAAATATGCCTTTAAACTGTATCAACAATGTTTGCCACTCTAAAAGAAAAAATTCTCCTCCCAGAGCAAAGACAGGAGAGAAGATCTGATTCAACCAGTAAGCCAGAAAATTTGGAGTTCTTCAGCCTTGTCCTCCTCTTCAGTACTCGACACAATTCTGATGGGTCTATATAAAACCAAAAGCAAATCTGAATATGAAAGTCTAACAGAAGTGAATTTAAATCCACATTAAAGCTGGATCACTTTTTAAACTAAGGACTTCGATTTTATAAGCACTCATTTATGGTAAGTCAATAAGAGTTCTCATTTACTTACAAAGTTCAAGATTTACCCAGAAAAAAAAAAAGTCTTTAAAATTATTTTAATAACAACTGTTTAATTTACTTATTTCTTAGATGGAAAGCCTGGTAGGTTATTTGGGTAATGGCCTACAATTATATAGTATAACTTTGTACATATGAATTGTACAATCTAAAACACAGAAATTCAAAGACATTTCTTAAGCATTCCCTCCATGAAAAAAGGGCTGGAGAGAGACCCCGCAAACTGTAGTATTTCAAGGTATTTCAACCCACACATCTAGACCTCTGCAGCATTCATTCAATATTAAGAGAAGAGGCATAATGTTCAAAAAGGGGCAGAGATTTCCCAGTCTTCTTGCTCATCAAAATAGTTAAGATAAGCCACACACTGAGCTGGAGATGCAATGGGACAGCAAGGCTTTACCAAGTCTGGAACACTACACAGACTTTAAGATTGTGTAAAAACTCATGTAGTCACCACTGGAAAAGGTATTCAACACAAATAAAATGTTTGAAGAAACTGATGTTCACTTCTTTTAATACCAAAACTTTAAAATAATGTTTAATCATTTTAAGATAAACCTTTCCAAACACGTATTACATTTGTATATGTAATTTTACCTTTTCTTGATGACACAGAGTCATAGTACCAGACTATTATCAGAACATGATCTAATACAGTGATGTCCTCTAGGCTGGCCTGGCTGTCCTTACACTTAATGGTTGACAGGTTTTCATGGTTTTTCTATCTCCTTCCAAACCGTCACTTCTGAACTGCTAATATGCTAGGGCTGGGAAATCCAATAATCAAAATTTCACATAAAAACAAACATATAGAGACCTTGTGACTTATGTGGGTTGCTCAAAGGCATTTAAAAAAGAGTTATTCCAAGTTTCTCAGTTGTGTTCTGTACTGATGAGACCACTAGATTACATCTTGATGAATGAGGCATTACTGTACATAAATATTTAAACAAGTTCATCTATTAACAAAAAGATAAAACTAAACATTAGTATCATTGCCTTTTTAAACAAAGTATTCTATAGCTTTAAGGTAACACTGGGTTCCAGTTTGTTTCCCCCAGAAATGAACATAAATAAATGTCCTATTTTAATAATATCAGTTTGTCCAAACAAAGGGGAAGAAAAAAAAAAAAAAAACTGAGGTGCAATCATGTCACAGTTAATGCATGTCTGCTTCCAATACATTCAAAGACAATATTTTTGTTTAAAAATCAATAGTTAAAATAGGACTTCTGCAGTCTGAGAATTCAAGATACTTAAAAAAATTTGTAAATACACATACATGCAAATTCTTCATATATACAAATTTTCACAAAATTAAGAAGTTGCAAAGAAATTAGAAGGATTACGGTGAATCTGACAAGCTACATTTAAATGCTTTACCACTGACATATTCCTGAATATAGCAGTCATAGTAGTTTTAATAAATTTTCTACATGGCCTTTTTTATAAAATTTTTTCTTTTAGACATAAAAGTTAGTCACTAGAAGTCTTCTGAAACTCTAATTTAAGAATTCAAGATGTTCTCAATTCACTACTCATATTTTAAGGCCACTTTGGTAAAGGCATTGCAGCAAGAACACAAAAACAATAGCATATTTTCTAATATTTATTTTTTTCACCTGCAAACTGTAGCAAAACATGATCAGCTTTATTATGCAGACAGGTATCCCTCTACATTTTTAAAGAATTTAGGTATGTATAAATAGAAGAGCTCTTTAGAAAGGAAAATTCAAGAATGAATAAAACCTTCCAATTTTGACTTTGTAACTTTGCAGTAGCAATGGTTAAAATGATTTTAGGTCGTTCATTCCAAGATATATGACAGCACCTTAGAAGTGGCTGATCTATTTCCCCAGTAACATTTCTCACAGAACAATGTGTTAAAGTTACAAATACTGATATGCACAAACAGCTAATTTCTAAGAAAAATATGTACAGTACTGCAGCATAATGAATGTGGCATCTGCAATAACTTAATATTAGCCAATTTTTAATATACATGATACTGCTACCTTTTTCTGCCAATTCACAGGTTACAAGTTGTTACTGGAGCCCTCTGTTTTGCACATATTACCTGGTGTTTGATACACAATGCAGGCTTTTTAAAGACTTCTCTTGTGTTTAAAGCTCAGATCAGTGAAACAAGACAACAGTGCAAGAGGCGGAGAGATGTAATGCGACCACGTAAAAGTTCGTTCCAGTAAAGTGTCTATATAAGGCTATAAGAAAGGATTGGTTGATGAGCTTCCTGTTGGAAACTGTCCTGTTGGTGCACCAGTCTAAAGGAAAACATAAGACAACGAACAGACAAGTAAGAGTGGTATATGTGTCAAAATATGGAAAGATTAAACTTTGATTAAATCTTATTTAACGAAACTATTCAAATTAGAAATTATTTTGTAATTATTAGCAATCCTACTTATTAATTGTCGTTATTAGCAACTGATATAATAAAACTATTAGGTGTCAGAAACTGTGTTATGGCCTTTAATATCCATTATTTCATATAATTCTCCTAACACAATCTAAGAAAATGCATTTACGATTCAAACCAAATCTCTGACTCCAAGCCCTTTCCACACAGTTCACTAAATCTATAGCTTTTCATAAAGCATTATTTTGACAAGAATACAGAAAAGTTTCATGCTATAAAATAGCTTATTTACTGTCAATGCTTTGATTTGCAACTGATTAATGTGTGTGTGTGTGCATGTGTGCATCTAAGTCAAAAAAGGATCATGTGTGACGGCTGCCTCACTCTGTAAAATTTTATACTGTCACATCAGTAGAATAGCAAACAGTATCTAGGAGAGTCACATCTTGCTTTTCCCAATTTGCAAATAACACACAACTTAGAAAGTGCTTAAAACTGCATCTCACTGGGGCGCCTGGGTGGCTCAGATGGTTAAGCGTCTGCCTTCGGCTCAGGTCGTGATCCCAGCATCCTGGGATCGAGCCCCACATCGGGCTCCCTGCCTGGAGGGGAGCCTGCCTCTCCCTTTCCCTCTGCCTCTCCCCCGCTCATGCTCTCTCTCTCTGTATCTGTGTCACAAATGAATAAAACCTTAAAAAAAAAAAAAAAAAATTGGGGCGCCTGGGTGGCTCAGTTGGTTAAGCGACTGCCTTCGGCTCAGGTCATGATCCTGGAGTCCCGGGATCGAGTCCCGCATCAGGCTCCCTGCTCGGCAGGGAGTCTGCTTCTCCCTCTGACCCTCCTCCCTCTCATGCTCTCTGTCTCTCATTCTCTCTGTCTCAAATAAATAAATAAAATCTTAAAAAAAAAAAAAAAAAAAATTGCAACTCACTTACCATAAAGGGATTACTAGATACTCCAGCAGCTGCAACTTGACCAAAAGGGGTTACCACTGGCTTTGTTTGTCCAAATGCTGCAAAACCTGCACCTTGTTAAAACAGAACCACCAATTATAACCCATACCTTTCAGAGACAATCTGATGCTTATAAAGCCTCCTAAGGAGTTTCAGAGAAATTTCTACCAGAGCAACAATAGTAAAATATCAATGTTTAATTGTTGGGTCTCATGCTCTTTCAAATACCAGAGACAAACTTCCTGTGGCACACGTAACAGAGCTTTCCTACAGCTTCTCAGAAATGGTTACTTCTGATTTGTCTCAGCTATGTAAGCTGCTGACGTCTAAACTAATAGATGACTTGTGACTATCTAAGACGGACTGTGAGTAAAACACAATGGCTTCATGTGAACAACACAGTATTTGTTAGGAAATATTTCATCATTATGGCTCTGCCATGGACCTTATTTCCAAATTTTTATCTAACCACAGACACTAAAAAATACATACACAATTATAATTTAAGAATAATCTTCAAATCTATGGACTTTCAAACTTTACCAAATAAGCTTAATGGGTAAAAAAAAATCCCTGGCCTCTAGAACCAGTAAAAAACTCTGACCACAATACAGTTACCTATTTGGAAAATTAGTCTAAGTCTCCAACATAAATAAATAACTTACACAAAACAGCAGATCCACAACAGCTTTCTGATGCAAAACAAAAACTCAAGGTCTACAAAGTTTTCTTTTAAAATCAAGAGGCGTATTAAAACATACAAGAGAAATTAATAAGAAAGAGAGTTGGGGGGGCCTGGGTGGCTCAGCCGGTTAAGTATCCGACTCTTGATTACAGCTCAGGTCGTAATCTCATGGGTCTGAGATCAAGCACCGCATCGGGCTCCGCTCTTAGCAGAGTCCCTTCAAGATTCTCTCCCTCTGCCCCTCCCCCAACTCATGCACAGGCTCTGGCTCTCTCTAAAATAATTAAATAAATCTTTAAAAAAAAGAAAAAAGAAAAAAGACAAGACACAGGAGATTCTAAGAAGGGGTATTCTTTAGACAGTCTCTGATTTCTCCTAAATCTATAACCTGGTCCCAAAAACTTACCAAAGCATTCAGTTTCCTAAGGCCCAAATCAAGGAAGGCGTTTATATTTCCGTAGTAAACGTTTAGCAGACAGTGCCACAGCATTCTCTGGACAAGCCTTTATGCCCAAACATGCAAGATTACGATACATAAAGGGTATCTGAAGTGGACTTACAGCTAGCCAAGTGCCAGATCTTACCATTGGGCTGTTGCGAAAAAGCGGTCTGCTGAGGGAAAGCGGCTTGGGCCGGGAAGGCAGGCTGCTGGAAGCTGCCGCTGAAGCTGGTGGGAAGACTGTAGGAAGCGGGAGTCCCGAAGCCCGCGGGCATGCTCATGGAGGCGGTGCCAAAGGTCGCGGCTGACAGGAAAAAGCACGGGCTGATCACTGACCACAAAAGAGCAGGCCCTGCTCTTCACACCACACTACAGAATGTTTCACTTGAAAACGTTAAGTCGGACACCAAAGGCATTTTAAATTCCAAAACGCTAACAATGTTAGTAGTAAGTTTTAGCATTATACAGTGTAGCACAATCTATAAAATGTTGTTCTGCTGAAACCCAATGACCAGAATGACACTAATAAAGCTATCATTTGAAATCGCAAGAAAACTCAAAGTAATTAAAAGCCTAAACAGCAGTCAAATTTAAAGCCCATCATCATGCAAGTCACATGTATACTAACATACATTTCTGCTTTTACTTTTGTTTTGCTATATACAGTAAAATAGCCAAAAATTGAAGTTTATCCACTGAATTGTCTGCTATAATGTAGTAAGTATGTTCCTGACAAAAAAAATTTAGAACTTCTAAAAAATAGTTCATTGAAGATAATGAGACTTATAGGAGAAATAGAGTTAGAAGCAGGCCTCTCAAAACCTATACAGCTTTGTAACCAAAGGCCAAAAGGCGGGGGGGGGGGGGGGGGGGGATGGCTTTCCCTAATAAAACCACTAACACAATTAAAAGAACATGTGAAGTTCTTAATACATCAATTCCAAAAGAAATATATGGACCACCATTATCTTGTTTGAAAGATAAATAGACTGCTTTGGATAAGGGGTTTAAGGTTAGGACTCCTGAGTTGTAGAGATTAGGGCAAAATGCATAAAGACTGAAAAGGTAGTGAAATAAGCATTCTTAGAAAAGATGGATGTAGGGTGAATTACTGCTGTGATCTAGACTGCACTGAAATCAGTATGTTAACAACAATCACTACACATGTGGTATGCTGTCATCATTCGTCCACTTACGCATTACTTATAACCTAATCTGCATTACAGAAGCTCACGCAGCAGGGGCGCCTGGGTGGCTCAGTAGGATAGGTGTCCGACTCCTGACTTTGGCTCAGGTCATGATCTCAGGATTGTGAGATCGAGCCCCACATCAGGCTTTGGGCTCTGAGCAGGGCCTGCTTAAGATTCTCTCCACCCAACCCCTGCCCCAGCTTCCCTCTCTCTTAAAAAAAATTTAAAAAGAAACTCATGTAGTAGCAAAACAGTATACTACTTACTGCTAGTGAAGATTAAAAACAGAACCTTATGAATGTATGTTCTAGAAAAAGTCCTGGTAAAGTAAGAGCCAATAATGGTGCTTTTAAGGAATACTAGCAATTACAATAGTGAAATATTGTTGGCATGATGCTATCAGAAACATGGTAATTCACTGAATTTGATTTTAAAAAAATTTTAATTTACCAACTTGCTCTCTGACTTAAGGCACAGGAATTATTACTAAAAATGTTACACAGATTATATTTTATTTAAAAAAAAAAAACCCTGGAAGTCATGTTATGGATACTGCCCAAAGTAATCTTATAATCCTATTGTTTATAACAATGCAGTTTTTCTCAATGAACCTAATCAGAATGCCGAATTTTTTGAAATTACGATTGATGAGAAAACAGGAGAAACAAGCCACTAGGAAGCAAGTGAATTAAAGAATAATAAGCACACTGCAAGGGAAACAGAAGGGTTTCATAACAGACAACAAAGCACTGACAAGCTTTGACAAATCACTTTTTAAGAAAGCACTAAAAAGCGAAACTTCTATACAGTTAGGCAAAACCAAACTCCATGGAATAATGTGGTAAGATGGTTTGGTTTATCAAAAAGGTGTCAAAGTACTATGAATTCAAACTCAAGAAAAATAATCAAAAAAGCTATTAACATTCTAATGTGACCATGGAGGTAAGCGATAATGCTTTTCAGCATTAAAACACAAATCACCACAATTTTCATGTAACTTTAAATATAATGTAATCCCAATGCCACACATCCATGCCCACTCCATTGTAAAACATGGAAAAAACTTATTTCCACATGCAGGGATCCAGAACACTAGCAGAAGCTTCCACAAGCAGGTAGACAAATTGCCACACAAATCTAGGTATCAGTTGTGGCCACCTACCAAAATGAGCGTGAGGAAACACTTGAGAATGCATTGCTCCAGAAAGGCCTTATGGAAAGCCATAAAGAGACCAATGTCAATTAACTTACGGATAAGTATTGTCAAAATAAAAGTAAATTTGTTTAATTAAAAAGTCCTAAAATTAGAATACACTGTTACAAAGTGGGTAGCATAAAAATACATAATAAAAACATATCCACAAAGTCTTTTAATTTCAACCACATTGATGACACTAATATTTAACCTGTTTGAAATAAAGGGGAAATTAGAATAATAAATACCAGAGAAATAAATACCAAATGAAAAAAACCATTTATGAAACCCATTTTTAAATAAACACTAACATTTTTTTCATGTCAAGATACAGCTACGTCCATAAAAAGACTTCGTAGGCCTCAGGAGCTACACCCTATGCTATTCATAGGATTATCTAAAATGACCTAGAATCTACCTTTTGCATCTAAAAAGTCAAATCTTGCGGAGAGCACCTGAATGATGTTTGACTGTTTACAATTCTGCACTAACTAGAAATTCATAAAGATAACTCAAGTGAACTAATTAAGTACGATGAGGGGGAAATTATTCAGTGTAGATCATTAGAAAGGTGGGCACAACTTGCAGTTTACAATGTAATGGCTGAAAAGAGAAGAGAAGAGAAAAATGCATCTCGTGTAAATCTTACCGGGCATAAATGAGGTCAGAGGGGTTACACATAAATACATGTAATGAACAGAAAACAAATTTAGGCTTCTAAGTACTAGAAATTGTTTGTTTGTTTTAACCATCTGGAACGGACATGTTTCTAAAATATATGTCCATGCATTTTAAATTAGCATACTTAACCAATTAAATGTGGAAAAACAGAACGACTGAGAGATTAGAGTGGTTAGGAGTCTTGGTTCTGTCATTTTCTAAGTACAGAAGGTTATTTAACTTCTAGAAGCTTCCATTTCCTCATTTGCAAACAGGAGGCAGAGGGAGGGATAACAGTACCTACTTGACAAAGCTGCCATGAAGATAAATTTAACAATAAATTTTTAAAAAGTGCTGTAAATATTCAATGGATATATTTTCCTTGCTAATAACTTTAAAAGATGTATACTTAAGAAATACATCAGTACTGTGTTCTGAATTCAACAGAAGGGTTAACTGAGGAGGAAGGGTTCTATAATAAATAAGTTAGGTCACTCTATGTTTATCTCCTTAAAATCCGTAAAGTCTCTTGAGAAGTCCTGCACTAAGAGTTAAATTGTTTATACCAGCGTTTCCCACATACGTTTGGCCCTCTTCCATGGAGTATTTGATAACATCTCAAGAGTCAAGCTCTACAAAACACACTTTGGTACAAACTGACCTTTAGTCAACAGTGACTGAACCAATATGAACTGCTATAACCTCAGTCTGTGATAATGATGCCCTCCCCTCTTAAGCTCTAGTCCTGGACTGCTATAAAACTTTAGACTTAACAACTTTTTGAGATATAATCCACATTATCACACTATCTGTCCACTTAAAGTGTAGAATTCAATGCTTTTTAATATTTTCCCAGGGTTGTAAAACCATCATCACAATCGAACTGTAGAACATTTTCATCTCCTCCACCCGCCCCCCCCCAAGAAATTCCATACCTATCAGCTGTCACCCTCCCTCTAACCTCCCCTCCTTTCCGTCTCTACAGATGTGCCCATTCTGGACATACCACATTACAAATGGAATCACAGGTTATACATTACTCTGTGACTAGCGTCCTTTAGCCTAATGTTTTCAAGGTTCATCCATGTTGGAGCATGCATCAGGACTTCATTATGGTTTATTAACAACAAAGTTCCATTGTATGATTATAACACATTTAGTTTATCCATTCATCAGTTGATGGACATTTTGGGTTGTTTCCACTTTTTGGCTATTATGAATAATGCTACTATGAACATGTGTGTACCAGCTTCTATGTGGATGTACATTTTCATTTCTCTTAGGTTATATTCTTAATGAGTGGAATGAGTGGAAAGAGGAAACAGAGCTGGTTTAGAAGAGTTCTGGATGCAAATATAAGATGAGCCATTAATCAATTCTGAAAGTTTAAGGCAAACCCATCAAATCGGTCTCCACCTAGGTAATAAAACTAGGAGGCTGGTCTAGATGCTACTATTATTCTTTCACCTCTACATTTCTATTAAGTTTATCTCCTTGAGGGTGAAGAAAATCTTTTACATCATTCATTCATTAAAATGAAGTTGGGGAAATAAAGACTATTCATTCCATAGCAAAGGACAGAATTATAAGAGAATTTCATAATAACTGAAAACTGTATTTAACTGTTAGGATTTAAGGCCTCAAAAGCTCTGTAAGAAAGAATGCTATTATAGAATCCTGAAATGAAAAAGGTCTTAGGCCATATTGGCTAATATCCTAATGAAGGTTTCTATGTAACATGGTGAAAGAAAAAGCCCCAAAGTTTTATAAATGCAGAAGAAAAATGATTAAAATATGTATTTTAAGAAAGAAACATTATCAGTAAAACATTTTAAATTTTGCAAAGAACTACTACGCAATAACCTCCTTCAAAAGCTACCTCAAATGGAATTTAACAAAATACCTGAAAGCAACAAAAAATATTTCCTGAAGAATATTAATTTTGACATTGGAAATTTCTAAGCATAGTATATTTATCAAAATACTATTCATATTTCAACTTCAATAGAAACATAAGTAGTTAACATTTACTTTTAATCATTTCTGTAACAAGGTGATCAATGTGATAAAGTGGTTTATAATGGAAAAAAAATTTTCACCTTGAAATAAGCCTTTGTGGACACAATTTACCTTTCAATTGTGCTTAGCCTAATACTAAAGATCACCTTATATCATCTGAACATACATCGTACCTTTTACATTCTTGTACATCCTATGTAGATCCTTAACTTTAAAGGACTTTCATACTCTACATAAAATAAGCAAAAAAAGCCCTTAACTCTAATGACAAACCAATTTGGAGGTACAGTCATGAAAGGAAAATAATAGGAAAGATTTACCAACCATCTAGGATAATGCAAAGACCATGCACAGTGATTTGTATCATCCGAATTCTCACAAAAATCCTGCCAGTTGGAGAATATTGTTCACATTCTATAGAAAAGGCTGACAATAAGGCTCAGAGAAGTTAGATCAATACAAGCTTAGTCAAGGTACAATCTGAGTTTCCATCCTTCAGTTGTCAGATGGGGTTATAAAGGCTATAAAAACTGCGACAGTATCTTGCAAACAATTTTAAACACTCAACAAATGTTAGTACATCTTCCTAACATCTTTACTCTACTCTACTCATATACAATTAACATTTAAATTAGGATCACCTAGCAAGTAAATACTAAATCGGGATCTGAACACAAGTATGGCTGTACCGAAAACATATTCACTTAATTTTTCTGAGCTTCATTTCCCTCAGCTGTCAACGTGTATTTGATGAGAGTTAAGAGGACTAAATAAGACAATGTACAGGAATCCTATGTGCCCAGAGACATCTTACATATTCATTCCACCAAGTCAAAATAATGTGCTAAGAAATAGAAATGTTACATATATCGTAAATGATGAGTATTTCCATCCAAAACACAACAGAAATTAAATCACTGATTAGGTATACCTGAATTAAAACAAACTTTTAAAAAAAATTATGTGGAATTAAAATACTTATTAAACATCTATTATGTGAGATACCAACAAATTATGACTGAAGAAACTCCTACTACCACAATTCCTAATCTTGCCAATGACACGGATTTGCTAATAATTACCAATTCTTATGGCACAAATTATGTTACAAGCACCTTACTCTTTCAAGATTTCACATCAATATATGCTATATGCATAAAGCTTTAGTTCTAAAATTACTGAGACACGTACACAAAACAAAGCTGGCCTTAATGAGTTTCAAGCTATACCACATATATTTGCTGACACCCCAAGATACTGGGAAACAGTTCTGGTGTTCAGGGTGACAGGACAAAAATCAAAGAGGCGCAATACGAAAACTATGTGGCTGGCTTGCAGCATGAACCAAAAAGAAAAAAGGGAAGGAATAAAGAGGATTAAAAAATTATCAAGAGAAAATATTCAAATATTGTATCCCAATCAAATCAGGTTTGCACAACTTAAAAAATGTGAATGCCCTAAAAGAGAGAAGCACTAGAAAAGACCTAACTGCTAAGACCTCATGTAACAAAGCTAATGCGTTTTTTGCCATCTCATGAAGAGGAAAACACAAACAAAAAAAAAACTTCTCACAAATTTTTCCTATTAAGCTTGAATGTGTAATAACCAGTAATTCCAAAACCAGACCACCAAATGAGTCAGAATTACTACATTCAAAAGTCCCATCTCGGTCACAAAGTGGCTGCATGGCTCTAAGAAGTCTCGCCTCCGTGCTTGGGCTGCCTCACCTGAAGAACGAAAGTTGTGACTGAGCGGTGGGGACCACTAGAGAACTGCTAGGGTCCCTCTCAAATATGAAAGTCCAGGATTTTATAAACTTTCAGCTACCGTACACTTTACGGACAAGCTCTTCCATCCACTTCCCATTCACTACAGTAAGAAAGAAGAACTTTATTTTCTGATGTTCTTCCCATGGTGTCTTTGCAATAAACAGACAGCTTTTCCAAAGTTTTCTGTTCTATAATCCTTATTTATTTCCTACCTGTTGCTCCTCTGGCATTGGTCTGAAATGGATTTGTAGAAGATGCCACAGAAGGACCAGCAGCAGCAACAAATGGATTTGTGGAAGGCGTAGCTTTAAAAAATTACAAAAATACACTATAAAATCCTAATATATTTGTATTCAATTGTTAAAAATATTTATGCATACATTTATGAAGATAGAAAATTAGAGCTTTCTGGTAATAAATTGTTGCTTTCATAGCCTTCCAGTATTCCTAAGAAAATGCAATACAATATACACAAGCTCTTTATAAAAACCAGTCTATGTACCAGAAACACTACCTCCAAAGGGAGCAGGCACACTGGAAGAAGCGGGCTGTGTCTGTGCCGAAGCACCCACTGGCACTGTTCCGAAAACACTGCTGGAAACAAAAACAGAGAGAGTTCTTTTTATTTTTTTAAAGCAAGGGTAACCAGTCTACAGGGCGGCCATAAAATGTGGAAACAGATAATACTGAACATACCATATATCATAGCAGTTCTTAAACTTTACATCTCAGGACTCATTTACATTTTGAAAAGTTACTGAGAACCCCAAAGAGTCTTTGTGTAGATGTGCTGTAGATGAATAATATGTATAGTACAGAAATTAAAACAGAAATTTTTAAAAATTTCATCCTTTTAAAATTAACCATAAAGCTATTACATGCTCACATAGTAGCATTTTTATAATAAAGAATTATTATTTTCTAAAACCAAAGGAACTTAAGAGTCACAATGGTATTTCTGCAAATCCCTTCAATGGCTGCCTTAATAGAAGACTGTCCTGTTGTGATACACTGTTTAAAGTATAAGAAGAAAAACTGTGCTCACAGACACCTAGCTGAACAAACTAGGAGAATCTGACGAGATTGAGCACATTCAGGGTGGTATGGCCGTAGACAAACTAGGAGAATCTGAATAGATTTTTCAGGTAACTGAATACTTTCCTTGGTATCATACCAAAAATGACAGTGATAGTTTACTAACGGTTAGCTGCAAAATGGAATCTGAAATCGTATCAATGAATTCCTTTGCACTCTACTGAACTAACACCTACTAACCTATCTTGCACTTTAAATGAATCTTTTATCAATTTTATATCATTTGGAAAATATCTGATGCAAATCTTCTAAATGGCAACAATTTCTTTATGTAAAAATCAAAAATTTACATTCAGTAATATCACCACTCAGCTTATCAAAAAGTAATGTGAAGCTGTCAAGCTCATGGTGGAGCCAATAAATTTTCTAAAATTCTAATATTTGCTTGGAAGTATGAATTTTATCAGTTATTTTCCTTAAAGTGACAGACTTAAATATTTCATTTTTGAGAAAATGTCTGCCAAATATCAAAATCTGAATAACCATGGTATGTCAGTCTTTTAAGGAAAACCAGTGTTCCATAAAATAACCAATGTTCCATAAAACAATGGGTATATCCATTATTGTATGTGGCTGGTTCATTCCACAACTCAAACATCCACACAAGCTGACTGCCCGCAAGTCACCCACCGTACTTCAATATGCAGCAGAAACTACTTGATACATACCTTACTTGAACACATAGAAAGTTAGGACATTATTTAAGGATCAATATTTAATAAAATTAGATTTTTAAAAAAGATTTATTTGAGAGAGAGAATGGGGGGGCAGAGAGAGAGAGAGAGAGAGAGACGGAGAGATCTCAAGCCGACTCCCCACCCAGCTCAGAGCCCGACGTGGGGCTCCATCCCACCACCCATGAGATCATGACCCAAGCTAAAACCAAGAGTCGGACGTTTAACCAACTGAGCCGCCCAGGCACCTCAGTAAAATTAATTTTTTTTATGGTTTCATCAAGAATATTTGTAAAAATATATAAATAAGTCATAGGGAAGTAATGTACAGCACAGTGCCTATAGTCAATAATATTATAGTGCATACTTGAAAGTTATAAAGAGAGTAAATCCTAAAAGTGAGCTCTGTATAGGGACGGACAGCAACTACATTTACATGATCATTTCACAACATACACAAACATCAAATCATTATGTTATACACCTGAAGTCAATGTTATATACCAATTATACCTCATTTAAAAAAAAAGAATATTCACAAGAAAGACTATTCACAAGTAAAACTGAAATGTGTGGTGGTAAGAAATATAATGACTATTTGATGACTACTAGTACAGTTTGGTGTCGTGGTCTTAATCTGTGCTAAAGTGCTGGCAAGTTTTTACTTGTCACTGTTTTTGCACCATCAATACAAATGTCAAATACTAAAAACACAAATAACCTGTCAGAATTATTGTGAGTATCATTTTAACTTCAAAGACCCCTTGAAAGGGTCTCAGGTACCCCAAATGTTCCATGGACCACACTTTGTGAACCACTAATACACGGTAATATAATATCAATAAACCATTTATGTATACCTATGTTTCCAGACTTTATGGTCACCTTGCTATAGATCACTATTATGTATGTCTAACACAGACCCTCTTAATGAAACAAGATATATATAAATACTCTAAACTTTATTCTTTGGATTCAATTTTTCCTGTTTGGCATATAGAAAATTAACTACTGGAGAGTCCAAGTAGTTAGTGTTACAACCCTCCCATTTCTCTCTAGAAAAGATGCTAAAGGGAAACAAAAAGGTACTCAGATAACAGAAGAAAGAAGAGACAAGTCTGCAGGATGGAAAACAAAGAGATGGATAAAGCACTGCATGGTAAGTCACCTACACTTCTGCATCTGTTTCCTTCAGAAATGTAGAAGTTACAACTATAAGAGTTTTTAAAGATCTACTGCTGTTATAATGTGTTAAGACTTCCTGCTGCCAAGAAGTCCCTCACATTAGATATATTTGAACACAGTTAAGGACATATCTATGTGTTAATACCAGTAGGACACTGACGAGATACAGAATTGGGTCTTGGATTCTCTTGCAAACATTTCTAAAAATGTTTATTTACAACTAAAGCTACAACATGTTACTTACAGTGTGTAGTCTTCATGACTCAGATAAAAGCATCTAATTTGCTAAATGGATTTTCTGCTCAGTATAATTAAATCTGTATATAACCCCTCACTCTGAGATGTGTACATACTCTCAATTACACTTTCGTGTTCAAGGAAGAAAAGTAACAAAACCTTTGATTAAATAAAAACTCAAGGATATTTTAATTAATAAATTAAACTCAGTTTCTGCAAACTACAAAAATATTCAAGAATTTAAAAAATATGTCCCCAGTCATTATTTAACATTATTATTCAGAGTTGAAAAAAAAAAGATGCAACATGAAGCAGGAACATTGACTGAGACAAGGTACCTGCTAGCATTACTTGTGGAAGTATATGCGTTACTGGAAGTGGCTGCAGAGCTGAAAACGCTGTCTAGTTCTGCCAGGGCTGCATATTTGTCTGAGGATGCACTTGACTGACTGGGAACTGAAACCACAGAACCAACAGGAGCTTTACCTGCGGTCCCAAAGCCACTCCCCTGATCACCACCTATAAACGAACAAAAACAAATTACACTGAAAACTTAGTTATGCTTTCAATTTATCAACCACATTTGCCATGAAACACGTGTAAATTTAAAACCGATTTAAAGCTAAGTAAATAAATAGACAGGACTCTACAGTCTTATGTAATAAACTACCTAGAAACCATCCGACAAGATTAGTTGCTACAGGTACCACTGTGGTAGAGACAAAATACTGTTTCTGTAACAAAAACGAACACTCTGTACCAATAACATGTCTAGCTTGTGTATAAAGAACATATTCTCAAAGTGCTACATTAACATCTCCAGAACAGGTGATTCTCATTCAAGTGAACATACAAATTTATAAAATGCTAGACCCAATGTGAACCCATAAACACTATCATTTTGCCAGGGTTGTCCATGAAAAAATTAGAGACAGTATTAAGAGGAGACATTTACACAGCACTTATCATGTGCCAGGCACTGTTCTAAATGACTGAGATAAAATAACACGTATGAGGTTCAATGCTATTACTACCCTCATTCTGGAGCTGAGAAAGCACAGTCAGAGATCAGGATGCAGACTCCAGTCCAAAAGCAGACCTCTGCTGTTCTCAACCACACTATGCATTTTTAGAGGCAAAATACTGGAGCTTAAGATCAAAACCAGGTATAAAAATACACTGTAAAAATAATGGGTTTGTTTTTTTTTTTAAATACCAACATAGTAATAGTAAAAATAGTTCAAAACGAATATATTACAAAAACCACCATATAACCCTCCAATCAGCACTATTAATAGGATATGTTGGCCCTCTATGGCCTTCCAACAGTGAAGCATGCTTTCTAAGACAAAATTCAATTTTGTCAATTACTTTCTTTTAAAATTAGAAGTCTACAAATAGTTTCTAGGCCTTCCAAAAGGCCTATTATTGGATTATTTCACATTCAAAATATGGGAAATAGTCATGAACCTTTAGTATAGAGAAAATTTCTTCACAACTATGAAAAGCATAACGACCTTAAATTGTAATAAATGCAACCAAATCTAGAGGACTGTTTAATATACAAATTTGTATTTATTTTGTTTAAAGCTTAATACCTTGCCCAGCACTGAAGATATTGTCTAAATTAGCAAGTGCTGCATATTTGTCTGTAGTCTGTAGACCAGCTTTGTTCGTTGAAACTTTACTAATAGCTGATGCTGTTTGATGACTCTGGGAAGTATTGAAGGTTCCAAAATCAGCACTGGAGGATTTGGGGAAGTTATCAAAATGAGCAAAATTAGCATTTACTGATCCAGCACTTCCACCTGTAACAGAATAAACAAAACACTTGAAATTTCTAGACTTCTCCTAAAATCCTTTGATAGATTATATGATTTCTTTCTTAATTAAGTGTTCTATAAGCAATTCTACTGGCAAAAGGCATTTAATTTTAATCATCTACACAGGACTTTTTATAATTTAAGAAACTACATTTCCAAAGGCCCTGGCAACATGTAAGGTAACAAGTTACTATGTGTAATTATCTACCCTCAAGTAAAGACTATAATTCACAGAAGAGTAACTCCTTGCTACCGGGTTTGAGACTCAGTTATTTTATAAACTATTCAGCTATCTATATACTATCACCTTTTACTAGTTCTCCCTAAATGGACTCCATAAGCAAAACGCAAAGTATACTATAAGCTCTTGTAGCTCCAAAAGAGACAGGGTTGAAACAAATCCCAGGGTAGAGATTTAAAACGTTTAAGATGTACTATTTTGAGCCACAATATCTTAAAAAGTGGTCTTTGAGCTTTAGGCTTATTTTACTTAAAGAGCTAATATTTAATTCCACATAATAATTTAATGTACATATAATATCATGTTTGTCCTCAGTAAAACCATGCCCTATTATATAGTTTAAGGAATAAAAATTATAGTACACAATGTATAATCTAAATATCATACCAATTTTTTAATTTATAGATCACAATTCACCTAATGGTCACTAATTCTGCTAAGATTTTAAAGACTGTTCTATACTCTAGAAACTTCCCTGAAGTACCATCAAAAGACTAAAGCCAGACTATTTCTTTCTATGCTTTGATGCTACACTGTTGGCATTAGCTCTTTACACCCACATATTAGTTTCAGCAATCAAAATAGTATATACATATACCTATATATTAAATGATAGCAAAGCACAATTACAGATATTTTAAAAAACAGAAAGATACAGCCCTATTTTAAAAAAGAGAACACAAACACTTTACCATCAACTAGTATTACAGACATTGTAAAATTTATACTGATAAAATTTCTTTCAGGAATTAAACTCCAGTTGTTTTCAATCAAAACTAAGTAAGGTGTGTTGGTATTTAACATTGTGATCTGTTACAAGTAGCTGGCGAACAAAATACGTAATACTAAGCTTTCAAAATTTGTATGATGAAATCTGCTTCAAATTATTAAAAACTAAATTATTAAATCAACTCTTTTATTGTATACCACTGTGTTCTCTAAATCTGAGTTTAGTAATAGTGAAGAGAGAATAAAAGTGAGAATTTCAGAATGATTATCATTAAGAGATGAGTAATATTCTATAATTGAAAAATCCATGAAACAACATAAAACGTACAAATTAGTAAAAGATGCCTACTTGACAACAGAACTTACTGTTGGAAGCCTCGAGAGGAAAAGCTGAAGTAAATTCACCAAAACTGCAGCTAGATGAAAGCATTCTAAATGCTGGACAGCCAGAAATTATGTAAATGATGGAATTTAAAGAAGAAAAAAAAAGAAAATTGAAAGAAAAGTCTTTAAGACAATACACAGAGTTAAAAGTTGAAAGAAAAATAATCAGATCTAAAGGAGGGTTCAATGAGATTCTGAAAACAATACAGTTTATGGGAGAGTACTCAATGCTTAAAGACCGATTCCTGCACAGAAAACTATTTCCAGTCCGATTAGAGTGACTGTTCAATGATCTCCTTTTGACTACCAGTATTTATCTTCTCAAGCTTGCTGCCCTGAAAATTACTTTTATTTGTATGGAAGCGATCCTTTATTCAATGTACTCTGTGAATTTAACAAATTTTTAGCACTGTAATGCTCCTGTGCGTAAAGAAATTTAAGGAAGATTCATACGCAGGAAAAGGAAGAGAATAGACACTGTGAATTAGACAACACACCAGAAAGTTAAAAAACAAACAAACAAACAAAAAAACCAGATGAACATAGAAAAAAAGATTTCAGGTTTCCCCAGAGCTTTATAAGGATAGAACTATTTGAAAATCAAATAATTATAGAATTTAAGTTTAGGATAATTTTTCAAACTACATCTAGAGAGTTTTGTGTTTCAAAGTAAACATTAAAGCATAATGCTGGAGAAGCTCTACCTGTAGTTTGGGGCTGAAAAGGAGAGTGACTCGCTGTGGGGAAACCTCCAAAATTACTCGAACCACTAGACTGTCCAAATGCATCAAAGTTTGCAAAATCTGCATTTGCAGAATTCTGAGCTGTAAATGGTAAGGAACAATATATGTTAATGAATATGAAAATTATAAATGAAAAATATGACAAATGAAATTTTATGAAAAGTTTCTGTCTCACAACTCACTTTAAAGAGAATTCATTTAGAAATCAAATCTTAAATCCTACCAGTGTTTATTTAACCCAGTTTCAAGCAATTCATTGAAAAGTATCCAAAATTTCCCCCAAAACACTTTGTATAACGATAAATGTGTACACAATACCCTTTGAATAACCTCAGGAATAGTACAGTAAAAGTGATTCTATTAAAGGACACTCTAAGAGCATTAAATACATGAGTTACAGTAAAGCAAACAGAGATGTAGGATATAGATTACATTCTGGAAAATTCAGATTTAAAATGGTAGTAAGTGATTCATCAGCTATGTGAATCTAAAATAATGATACAAAGAAGGTTAAATATTCTTTTTGGCTTTTTTCTAAGTTTACAACTATTTTACACCATGGCATATAAAGATGAAAAAATTGAATGTTTAACAACAACATGATTGTCAAATAAATCAAAGATATCCACATTCTGTTTAGAAGCCTGCCATTCTTCACACATACTAAAATTTGAGAAATGATGAAAACAGTAAAATTTATAACATTAGTGTACTTCAGACTCAGTGAAAAAGACCAACTGCTTTTTTCCCCACAGATCATCAACATAAGAGCAAATTTTTAGGCTTCTCTAAACTTAAAATATGTAGCTAAGTAAAATAATTCAGAAGACTTTTTTTTAAAGGCTAAAACGGATGCTGAATAAACTTTTTATAGAGAATATGATGAGAAGTGGTTGGTATGCAGGAAAGGGAATGCTAAGTGGGAAGAATGAAAAGCATGCCCAAAAGATAAAGGTTAAATGCCATCAACATAGTAAAAGTCAGCCACTTTAAATCCTTTGCAGGCAATTTCACTTCAAGGAAGTTTTCATAAAGGAATAATCTTGTAAATGAATATGGCTACATCTAACAACTAAACAACATATGTGTTTTATAGTAATAATGAAAAAAATTTAAAAACTCAAATGGCCAGTAATGAGGGATCACTTAAATATATTATGAAACATCATACAAAGAAATATAAGGCAGCCATTTAAAAAAAAAACATATAGAATACGTAGTCCTATTCAAAAATGCTTATGACAAAGTAAATAAGATAAACAGGTTAATAAATTCCAAATACATTTTCATTTGCCAATTTTGTTAGCGTGGTATCACGGGCACAGAAAATCTGCATTTTCGTTAACAAAAGTAGTGAGTTTTCAGATTGGTATCATTTTCTCCTTTGCTTAAGTTTACTAGGCTTTTGCAATAAATATGTATTCTAATTTAGACAAACCAAAAAAAGTTACTAAACAAGAAATTTTCTACTAACAAAGTAAATTATTATTCTAGGAAGATAATCAGGAAAACTTATAGCATTTTATGTAATTACTCTTTTGTGTCTATCTGAAAGGGTATGACTGCAGCAGGGGGAAATGCACCTAAAGTAGACCTCCTTTTACTAGACACCTCCTTTACTAGACACACTTCCCTTCCTACGTCCTCACATCCAGCACTTCTGAGAGGTGGAAATGCTGTGCTATATATACATATCACTGCTCATACTTTGTTCTTGAAAACCTTTTTAAAACACATTTGTCCAAGCTCTCAAACATTACACAGAGGTATCTAAATTAAAAGGCTGCTTATCATGTAACAAAATAAATTTTGTATTTTCTGGACACTCTGAAATCTTTTGTTATTATTTCTAATTAACATAATAAGATTCAATTTATCAGCTGAGATTTTACTTTCCCAAAAATAAACACAATGAAAGATATACTAATAAATAATTAAAGGATCAATATATTGAAAAATATTTTGAAAGAAATATCGACACAAGTTTAAATAATAAATATAAGTTTAAACCCAGTTACCATTTAGTATAATCAAATAAGTTTGTGAAAAGGGAATCCAAAATAATCAGAGAATTCCATCCTAACATGAAAACTGTACAGTCTTGGACAAGTCCCTCAATTGCTCAGGCTCCACCAGTTTTTTCACTAGCAAAACAAAAGGATTCACTAAATGACCTGTACTTGCAAATCCAGGAGTATGACTCTATAACTTGTAAGACAACAGGAATAAATTTTTAAGAACTGTGGAATACTAGGCCCAGAAGAGGAAAATTCTACTAAAAGACAAAAGAAGTCGAATATTTAACATATAGATAATATAACCTACAACCAAAAGAATAAAAGAATATGGTATAGGAAGTTCTCAAATTTAGAGTGGGTTATATTACAAAAGACAAGTTCTAAGTTTCCTGAACAATTTACCTCTACATCTGTGAATAAATGAAATGCATCTATACATTGGAGAAAAAGGAATTAGGTCCCTAAGCTGGTTTATCACTTATAACCTCGAATATACGTGAATACGTAGTCTATAATAACACATACTCTATATTTAACTTACATTTAGACCATTATAGGGAAAATATATATTTTAACATGTTTCAAACATCATCAGGAAACAAATCAGTTCAACGACCCATTTTGTTAGTCAAGTCTATTTTATCACATTTGTAAACACTGGTGTTTTCCAACTGGAGCACCAAACACGTTAATCAAGTATCTATTCATTATAGCAAAGCAGGACTTTGTAATACTTCTTTCGCAGTTTTTATATGGAGACATTGTACCTACTCAGTGTCTTCAACAAATGGTTATAGTAACTTTTAAAATTGATAAGTACTGTCGAATGACATTTTAGAAACCACAATTCTAGAAATTAAACACTAATAAATTCAATAATAACAAAAATTACTAATCTGTAACCTCAAGCGATCTCTGTACAAAGAAATATAAACTGAACAGAATGTAACAAAACAGTAAAGATGCTTTTTAAATATAATCTTATCTCAAAAAGCACAAAGAAGTAATCTCAGTTTAAGAATTTAAGGCACTAAAGTTAATGAGCCTAAATCTGAGAATTGTCTTTCCTCTCCAGTGAGATAGGGTACTTATGAGAAAGGAAGATAAACGTAGAGACCAGAGACAGAAACTGACTGCCTTCATCAAATTCAGCTGAATTTGTTTCACCTACGTATTTAAATTCTTTTTCATCAACCCCAACACTTAGAACACCGCACATTAAATAAACAAGCTTTCTTGCTTCTCTTAAAATCAGTGTTAATCTGGTAGTCCTGAGGCTGTATATCCATGTGTCAACAGGGGATTAGAACATCCCCCTTTGCATGTGGTTCCTTCCACAATGCATTATATTACTCACTTGTGTTAACTGGGTGGCAAGACAATGAAGTTTAACATCCATCCCTAGTACAAGGTGTGACAAAAATCAATGACAGTTTATAGTTCATAGGTTTGTGATAGGTTTACTACCAACCAAGCAAAGTTAACTATTAAATTCTGTAGGTTAATTATGTTTCTAACTGAGTAAGTACTTCTGTAGAAGATGACTTTTCCTGAACACAGCAATAATCCCACCACTGATACACATCCTCACATACCACGTCAGCCAGGATGTTCAGAGGAAGGGTGAAGACGTCTGGCTTTTAAGCCATTAAACTATCTGGAAACATAACAGGTTTCCCTATAAAATAATGCTAACTAGATTGGCATATCTGAGTAATTATCATTTGCTATTAAAAGTTCCGTCATATCAATCTGTACACGAGAAAATTTTCACCTTAAAAGGTTTTTTAAGAGGTGCCTGGGCAATTCAGTTGGTTGGGCGTCCAACTCTTAGGTTTTGGCTCAGGTCATGATCTCCTGGGAGACTCTGCTTGAGGATGCTCTCCCTGCCCCCCTCCACCTGCTGCATGCACGCTCGCTCACATGCCCTCTCTCTCTCTCTAATAAACAAATCTTAAAAAAAAAAAAAAAAAAAAAAACCTTAAAAAAAAACCACATGAAAATTTCAGGGTGCCAACTCAGCTATCAATGACTTTATATTTGTGGGCCATACATGGAAAAATAAAAGATTCGGGGTTCTTATAAAGGCTAGGGAAAAAGAGAATGGAAAAAGAGGAAATAAATGAATAATTTTATTAGCTTCTTCTTGTAGCATGTGTATATATTTTATTCTGGAATCAAATGGAGTTTTTTTTTTTTTTAAAAAAAGGTGATTTGAGTGTGCATCTGTAAATAAGAACTTTAGGCTAAAAAACTACTCCTCTTAGGCAACCTGACCCAACTGACATGGTTATTAAACTATATCCTCACAGACACATCTTTCCTACCATTTCTATCACATGTGGAAAAGAGACAAAATAGTTAAGATCTACTATCTTCTAACAATCTGATAAAATTACAGGTTTCATTTCTTTCCTTTTTTCTTTAACATATTCTACAATTAAAAAATGGCTATTATTTTCAAAGAGCATTTTAAAGGAGTTACTGATGCTATGAGTAAAATCATGCTACCAAGCAGCTTGTAGAGCTGCAATGACCTGTGTAACTATTTCTGGTTAACAAGGCTACCTGTAAGAATATAGCATTAATTCCCTGAATGGTGAATATTCACAAATTGCATTTAAAGACAAAAACATAAGGGAAACATGAAATAAGTTGCAAATTTACAAAAGAGCTTGGTAGTTATCAGTCACTTCAAATTATGTATCAGTAAGTGTAAAACTGAGATAAATGCAAACTATTCATGAATTACAGAAGGCTTACTCTATATTCTTTGATTCTTCAACTCCTTTTGCCAGCATTCAAAAGCAACAGGGGGCAACAGAGAGCTGGGGCTCCTCTTTGGTCACAGGAGACTGGCTACCCATCTGGAGGGTGAAGGGGAAAAAGTCTCTCCTGGTTTCCTGGGCTTTTCGCTGCATAGCTAACACAGAAGGGAAACCTATCACAGCCCCAACATCTTAAGCTTCCTGACCTCTTACCCTTCTCAGTACAATCTTTGCTGAAAAAGAGATCCTCTTCATTCTAGGATCCCTTTCTAAAGCAAACACACACACAAACATATGTAAGTTACACCATAATTTCCTTCTGTAGCAGGCCGTTAGAAAATCCTTTCATTAATATTTATTTTTTTCTCATTAATATTTAAAAGAAAAAGTTCCTTTAATGCTTGCTAGAAAGAAATGTGGCTGAAGAGCAGCTTTTCCATAATTTTTCGAACTATCTTAAACAGTACATTTTGGATGTGTATGTTTGTGTGTGTGTGTGTGTGTGTATATGTTACACTTTATACCATTATTATCCAACTATATAAGCCAGGTCATCAAATGAAAAAGCCGAACAGCATCACAATCTCACAGGTGAGTAAAAGAAGGTAAAATAAGTTCTAAAATACAAATAGGAAATCAATTCTGTAAGTGCTAGTTTTTGCTATGCTCACAAAATAGTGAAATACAAGTTTCAGAAAGATAGTTGTGAATTTTTCCTGATTATATAATTAAAGTTATGGAAATCAGTGACAAACAATAAAAAACATTAGCTAATACCCCATACAGTCATGCAAAAATATAAAGCAAAGTTTCAAATAATCAAATAAAAGGGCTACAAAATGACTAAATCAATTCTTAATTTTAGTGCTCCACATTCGGTTTGATGCTTACTCAACCATTCACAAATGCAGACAGGTAAATTTTCTGTTACATGCACATCAAAGCTTACTGGCATCCAAAAGATTATTTCATACATATCTCTGATACATACAATGTAGGCTTTCAGACCGTTTACATCAGACCTTATTTTTCTTTTTTTTTTTAATTTTTATTATGCTATGTTAATCACCATACATTACATCGTTAGTTTTTGATGCAGTGTTCCATGATTCATTGCTTGCGTATAACACCCAGTGCTCCAGGCAGTATGTGCTCTCTTTAATACCCATCACTAGGCTAAACCCATCCCCCCACCCCGCTCCCCTCTAGAACCCTCAGTTTTGTTTCTCAGAGTCCATAGTCTCTCATGGTTCGTCTCCCCCTCTGATTTTCCCCCCTTCATTTTTCCCTTCCTACTATCTTCTTTTTTTTTTTTAACATATAATGTATTATTTGTTTCAGACCTTATTAAAAAAAGTAGAAGGAAGCATAAAGAAACAACTCTAAAGACTGACTCCATTCTGACTCCAAAGCCTATTTCTTCTCACCACATTATGCCATTTCACTGTCCATTATCATTATTTACTATTACAATTAGAAAGGCACAAATGACTTCATCTATACTTTAATAATCAATTTTTAAATATTACTTAGGTAACTGCAAGTTTTATATTCATTTACAAAACAAAACTCCATAATTTCTAATTTCTGGTGGTGAAGTACATTTAACTCTTTGTAACAAACATGATAAGTCTGGGAATAAAAAAAGAAGTCCTATCTTTTACAGCCAACCTGAAGATACTGCTACTCTAAAGATGGGATAATATGAACATCAATAAAGATAATAATGACAACAGATTTGAGATGTAGCAAATGTTAAATCTATGAATCCATAATGATATGAAACAAAAAACAGATCATTAAAATATGGTGGGGTTTCAACTCATTCTGATATGTGACTGGTCAGAATCAGTCATATATTAACTTTCCTATACAAATTATACCATTGGATAACCGAAGATTTTTGAAGAAATATTTCAGCTCATAAATGAAGGAATGATAAATTTAGAATATCAACATTTTGCATAATGGACCCAGGCATGGAGCATCAACAGCTCACATTACAAAAACAGAAACCATCAATAATACGTGCCTCTTAAACTGTAAGTAGCAGGTTTGCACCCCGCCAAAAGAATCACCTGTAACAGATCATATATCTAGAACCAACTATCAATGTATAGAGAATACAAAGAGAGGAACCTGTTAAGGGACCCCACAGTGGTACAATCAATAAATTCAGAGTAAAATCAACTACATACTCTACAGGACAAATAACCTGATTTCTTCAACAAATAACAGAGGAGAAAATAGAGATGGAGGAAGAACCCACAGATTATGTGATATATCTCCCAAGTGCAGTGTGTACACCTTATTTGAATAAACTGTGTGTGTTTGTCTGAACTGGAATGGAAAATCTGAATAGTGACTAATTAATAATGATAACACTACTGTGGTTATGTTTAACAAAGTTCTTCTGTTTTACAGATACATATAAAATATTTAGGGATAAACAAATATATCTAAAATTGCTTCAAAATAATTAAGAGGAGCAATGTTAAGGAATAGAATGACAAATGAAACCAGATTAGGCATAAGCAATGAGTACACAACGGTTCTATTATCTGGTCACTTCTGAATATTTGCAATTTTCCATATTAAAAGGGTGAAAAAATACATTAAAAAGTCTTTCCCCATTCTTCTTTGGAAAGAGGTCATGTCAGTATCTGACATTAAGTATATAATCTCTTCTGTGATTAAAAAAGCACCAGGGTTACATGGCTACATATTACACGTCAACAGCTATGAGGGCCCACCCCTCAATAGAACACATTTACTGATATTTAAGCTTTAAAAAGAATGGACGTTTCTCAGTGCTATATATATGCATCTGGCAAAAAGCTGTTGGGAAAAACACACGTACCTGCGTGACTGTTGAAATGTGCAAAGTTAGCAAAATTGGCTGTAGCTGTTGACTGAGGTGCTGGAGCAGCAAAGATGTCTGAGCCAAGATCACTTAAAAGGTCAAACTGCTTCTTTTCCTGCTGCTGCCCTTGAGAGCGACCTACAACTGGAGACTATAAACCACATATTAACTATAAAGAGCTTCTGGTCAGATGTGCTACATTTTCTAATACTATTTCCAATTCACCAAGTTTAAAACATAGTTTTAAAGATTACATAATCTTTTATTTGTAGTTTTGAATACTTTGCGATTTTTTGAAAAGCACAAATTTTCAACATCTATTTCCAAATTATCTCTCAATTCTAAGTACAAAGGCAAAGGCAAAAAAATACTGTATTACAACAGTTGTTACACCTTCTAACACAAGGCAGACTTACTGCTAAGAGAGCAAAGGTAAGACTTTCACAAAACACATCCTTTATATGATGGGAAGAGTACAACATACTGACTTAACCCTTCTCTTTATTTTTGACTCAAACCTCTTGTGAAAACTGAGTAATTTTATCCAGATGCCCGAGTGCGCATTATTAAAAAGGGTAGGCTTTCATTCAAGGAGTACTCTGCCTCAGAACCATTCTTGTGTAGGGCAGACGTTGTAAAGCCAGACAGGAAAAAATCTGTCACAGCTCAGTCAATTGTAATAAAGTGCAGAAACACTAACTTTTTTACCAAGTTATGAAAAGACTTCAATCTGTTTAGTTTTTTAAAATGAGGTATGTAATGCAAAGCCACCTGTATTTCGATGATAAACATGCTTCACAACCAGGCAGGGAGAAAATTCTACTGCTTAAGAAATTCCTTCTTGTAAAAGTCCATCACAGAGACTATACTGCTCTAACTCTGATGGTCCCCCTACAGTCAGGTTTTACTACATGTAAGTTGTATGACAGCTAGCTATTAACGACATTCCTGCATACCTTTACAAACCTGTGGAGCATTCAAAGAAACTAATCCGCATAGCAGAAGAGAACAAAAATACGCACCTCCCAACCACTTAACCAAGGCTCTTGGAATGTATTATCAACCCTCAGGACAGAATGCTGTTGGCATATGGGTTTATGCTACTGTCTTAAAGAACTGTCAAATTCACGATGCTCACTATGCTCCTGAAGCGGAAGCCTCTACAAAGCCTTCAGACCACTCACCTGACTAGGTGTGCCCTTGTTTAAGTGCAGTGCTGGTGCTGCATCTCCTAAGAGAGACTTCAGTGGTTTGACCTCCGGTGTGCTGCTTGTGCTGCTGGCAGAGGACCCCGAAATAGATGCATGAACTGACGCCACCACTTTGGCTTGTTCTGGAGGGACGTACCTAGAACACGAAAAATTAGGCAGGCAGTTACCTAAGAAAAACGCAGGGAATACTATGCTTAAAAATGATAAACTTAAAAAAAAGGTAAACTTAATCCTCCCTTTTTTACGACTCTATTTCAGCATTAATCTTACTTCAAAACCCTCTTGGAATTGATAGCTTAAGACTGCACTTTATTGAAATACTCAGAAAGGCTAATAAAGACTAAGCACAAAACTTGTTTCGATTATTTACTTACAATTTTTCTAAGAAAATAAATAACTTTTTTTTTTTTTTTTAAGCAAAAGAGGACCTATAGTTAGGCATCATGATGAACAGTTAAAACTCTAATTTTTTAAAAACTGAACTATCATAAGATCATAAATAACATTTGGGAAGAGAGCGGAAGAGTGGGAAAATATTTATTATATTACAGTTAACAGTCTAAAATATAAAAGTCTATTACAAATCTAGGAGAATAAGATCAACAATGCAATTTTTAAATAAGCGGAAACAATTCACAAATGGAGACATAGAAATGAAAACACTTGTAACCTCATAAAAATGCAAATTAAAATTTCACATTTACTCCAAGCAAAATTTTATAAATTTTGTTATTTCCTACTAAAATATTATAAATAGATATGCTCTGTGTCCCAGAAGTACAACTTCCAGAAACTTCTCCTTTGGGATTAATTGGATAAGTAACACAGATACATGTGCATGCATGTTATCACAGCTCTCTTTATAATTTCAAAAAACTAGCTACATATCAAACATTCATCAGGAGAAAAATACTTAAAGGGGTTATGTTAACATTTGTGTAATAGAATGCTACACAGCTACTCTTGTTCTAACACGGAAAGATGTCCCTAAGACTACAGGTCTTTCAGGTTTGATCTCAGTCATGTAAGTACAAGATTTACAGGAGGACGAGAGTAAAGAAAGGAAAGAGAGGCAGTAAGAACATAATGCCCAAACACTGCCAATGCTAATCTCTAGGGCTGGGATCACGCGAGAGCTTTAGTTCTCTTTCTAGGTTTTGTCCCACTTTACCCTTCTCTCCACCCCCACCCCCCATATCACATGGGGGAGTAGGAAAACACAGTGGTTAAGAACACCTATATATTCTAGAGACAGAGTTCAAATCCCAGCTCTACCACTCAATAGCTATGAAACCTAGGGCAAACTACTTCACCCTTTGTGCCTCCAATTTTTCATCTATAAAATGGAGATATAGTTGCTAGGAGGTGTAACTGAGTTAACATTTGTAAATACTTAGAACAGTTCCTGGTATAGGTATATTAGCTACTGTTAGCTCCTATCAAATTATAGAATAATGACAAACAATACACTGCTTTCCCAGTAAATGGAACAGATGTGATATGAAAATGGAAACAGGAAGTTATGCTTTCCCATAATCTGGTGTATTCACTGAGGATATCAAGTTTTATCAAAGGATAAAACCAGATAATACTATTTGGTTCAAAATACTCATCTGACTAAAAGTAAAGAAGCTAGGCTTGTGTAGCACAAAAGTGAGTTTGAAAACTGATCTAACAATTTCAAAACCCCTTCAGATCTAACACAACAATAACCTCAAGGTGTTAAGTACAGTGAGGATTTTTAGGGAGACTTCATTTAGATAGTGCTTATGTCATGTTAAAAACCCACTGCACTGCTCTCTCATTACATGTCCCAGGGATGCAGAAGTGTGAGTTTAAAATGCACAGGGCCTGGCCCACCTGACTGTGGGTCACTCCCTCTAGGTGCCCACCGTTCAAGTATGTATTTGTATTATTCTTGTCATTACTACCCAGTTTCTCAGGAAGTAACATGAATTATAATTATTTGAGGTTTACAGTAATTTGGGTTATAGTCTGAATTACTAATTTTATAATTACCATCATAAATGCAAGAAGGGAATCAATGGTTTTAAATCTATTAAGTCTTACTCATGCACCCTTTTCTTTTGCTAGTTGAAAAATAAACCATCTGAAATCCCAGCTAAATTCTATTCAAACTAACTTTCTGAGCTGGTAAAACTGTTGGGAAAATCAAAATTAGGCTATAGCTATGCAAGGAGAAAGGTCTAACTATAGGATACAAGATCTTGGAAATTAAGAGTTGAAATGAAAGAAGGACAATTTTACACTCCATTTTAAGAGAATCATTTATGCCACCATGTTTTTACTATTACTCCACCCTGAAAGATTTTCTTCTTTCTTCAACTAAAATTTTACTAGTATGGGAGTGCCTGGGTGGCTCACTCCGTTAAGCGCCCAACTTCAGCTCAGGTCATGATCCCGGAGTCCCGGGATCAAGCCCTGCATCAGACTCCCTGCTCAGAGTGGAATCTGCTTCTCCCTCTGCCCCTCGCCCGGCTCTCATGCTCTCTCTCACTCTCTCTCAAATAAATAAATAAAATCTTTTAAAATTGTACTAGTATGTTTTTATCTCCCTTCATACTGAACGCATCTAGTGCCGCTGAATGTAGCCCCTGGCTGTGACTAATCTTGCCTTGCAAAAAGTAGTCTCTTCTAGAAAACAGTAAGAATCCAAAGTTCGCAGAGCACACATATCAAAGCCACTTCTTTCTACTGTGCTCACTGAATAAAAATAGAGATATGTCACCCATGAACCATAGCAAGTACTCCCTCAGGATGCCCAGGGTTAAAATACAGCTCGCTCCTCGGGAAAACAAGAAACCATTTACTTCCTCCTTATCTATTCCCCCCGTTTGTGACTCTCTCCTTAATTTTCTTAACCCCCCAAGAAGGAAATATACACCACTGAATAAAGTCTTAGTAAACTGAATTAAACTGTGTTCATATAGCTAAAAGTGACGACTCCAGAGTAACTGAATATAGTTTTATAGACGTATTTCCTGCTCTGCTTTTTAAAGGGCTTTACTAGCTATATGTCCAACCTGTTTTAACTTCTTTTTAAAAATTAACATCTGATGGATTTAGTCAGGGGAGCATAAACGTTCCCTTCTTAACCAGGTAGTAAAATGATTTCTTGGGTGAGAAGTGAGGATATTTCGATCAAAGACTTACTGCAAAATGCAATTAAGTGGATGGATTACTACACAAGAGCTTTAGCATAGTGCTTAGTATATAAAAGATGCCAAATACTTGCTAAACGAATGACGACTTTAAGAAAGAGGCTGTATAAAACTACAATGTCTTGAGAAGCTAATAGGACTACAGAAGGCTTAGAAGGAAGGATCCCTAACTTTCCAAAAAAGGGTAGGAGGCCTGGGATTAAGGAACAAGCTGCTGCTAAATACAGGTGACTTAAGCAGAAGTCAAGGCTTTTAGAAACCAAATCCAATAAAATGCCAGAATATAACGAGGATCTATCTACCTACATACCTATTTCCTTATTTCCTATCTACCTATTTCCTTCCTTCCTTCCTTTTCAGATTAACCTTACCCATAATTAATGTGAGTTTGGGAGCCTTTGCTCTAAATACAAACTATTCACTCACCATCTTTTCTTTTCATACTTTTCTTGTAGGAACTCTTTCACTTTTTGTGGATCCCTGAAGTCTGGAATTGCTGAAGATCTATCATCAAATAATCCTAGCCAAATCTGTTTACAGACCTTTGGAAAGAATTAAAAAAACAAAAGTGTTAATTTCAACATCTTAACTTAATGAAATTTTAAGGGAAAATTAGGATTCTTTCAAAAAGCTAACCTACTTAATACCACTCCTTTCAATGAGAATATTTACCACAAAGAAAAATGAAGAAGCAACGAATGAAGTAAATTTTATATATCCAGTCTGCAATAAAATCTTAGCAACAGTATTATAAAAAGTAACACCTCACAGGGAAACAATTAATGAAATGGGATTTGAGGGGATTTGGGACTTTTTGGTCTTGAAAAGGACCATAAACTGTAAGCCCTGAACTAAGTCGTATACTTTTATAAACCTCAGTTCCTTCACCCATAAAACAGAGGAATTAGACCAACAGCAATTTCATGGATCTTTGACAGATTTAAAAATCAACCAAAAAAGCGGCGCCTGGCTGGTTTTAGTCAGTAGAGCATGTGGTTCTTTCTTTTAAAAAAAGATTTATCTATTTACTTATTTGAAAAAGAGAAAGCGCGCACACTTGTGCATGAACGGGGGGGGGGGGGGGGGGGCGGCAGCAGAGGGAGAGGGAGAAAAGAGTCTTAAGCAGACTCTGCATTGAGCATGGAGCCAGAAACAAGGCTCAATCTCAGGACCCTGAGATCATGACATGAGCCAAAACCAAAAGTCAGACGCTTAACCAACTACGCCACCCAGGTGCCTCTAGAGCATATGACTCTTGATCTCAGGGTCATGAGTTAAAGCCCCATGTTGGATGCAGAGATTAATTAAAAAAATAAAAAATAAAAAGTACTAGAATCATAAATAAGTATAATAACAGTAACAAAAATACAAGGCAGATACAACTCTAGCTTTATAATCACCTCCTATGCTTTCTTACCCCTAATGGCTAAAAAGTAAGAATCTAAGATATTTTAACTTTTTAGAAAAATTACAGAAATGAAATGATGCAGAACTCAGAACACAAAGAGCAGAGAAATATAAAGAAAAAACTGATAAGGTGGACTTCAAAATTTACAACTCTTGCTCTTCAAAAAAACTTAAAAGAAAAAATGAAAAGGCAAGCCACCAACTGATAAAAAGTACTGGCAAAATGTGTTAAGAACCTAAAAGAACGTGAATCCAAAACACATTTAAAAGTTTCTAAAACTCAACTATAAAAAACTTGTAAAAGTGGGCAGAGAAGTTGAACAGACACTTCACTAAAGACATACACATCACAAACAAGCAGCCCCAAATCACCAGTCACGCAGAAAATAAAAACGACACCAAGACTCCACTACAAAGAAACCCATAGATACCACTAAATGGCTAAAAATAAAAAGATTAACCATATCATGTGTTGGTAACAATGTGGAACAACTGGAACTCTCAAAAATGTTAAAATGTACAATCACTTTGGAAGACTGTTGACGATTTCTTAAAAGTTAAATATATACCTACCAGATGACCCAGCCATCCCACTTCTAAGTATTTACCCAACAAAAATAAAAAACACATGTCCACACTCAGATTTGTATACAATGTTCACAGCAGCTTTACAGATAATAACTCCAAAGTGGAAACAACCCAAAACGTTCATCAACAGGTTGAATGGATCTATTTTGGGAGTATCCAAGTAGGATACTATTCAGCAATTACAAGGAATAAATCATTGATACAGGCAACTGCATGAATAAACCTCAAGATAATTATGCTGACTGAGAAGCCAGACCCCCCTCTAAAGTACATACTGTATATGATTCCATTCATTTATATTTTAGAAAATATAAACGTATCTATAATGACAGAAAGCAGATCAGCAGATACATTACAAATAGCCACAAAAAAACTCTTCGGGATAATGAAAATGTATGTTGTCTTGTCACTATAGTGATGGTTTCACATATATAAAAATTCATCAAAATTGTATAGTTTAAATAAGCACGTTATTGTAATTAATTATTCTTCAGTAAAGCTATAAGAAACTAGTCCACAAGTTTCCAAAATTATATTGTTTTAAAAAATAACCAATTATTACACTGTGAAAAGAACAGTATCTAGCTTCAAAAAGCCCGACAAAGATTTGAGGAATCAGGATGAAGAGCAGCAGCCACCTCTCAATCTTACCCTGCTCCCTGAAGTGGGGAAGGGGCAAAGAGGAACCAGAAAAAGGACTCACGCCTCTCCTCTATCTGGACCCCAAGCATGTTTCAGGACAACTCTTCCTGTGGTTCCCTCCTACTCCAGGCGCAGTACAGACACTATACCATCAGTAAGGCAGCAGAGCTGACACACTTAAGTTCTAGGCTAAGGCACAATCTCATTATAAAAATTTTCAGTGGCAAAGCCCAAGAAGCGCAGACACCCAGAAATGGTGATGCAACTTACTGCCCGAAATACTATCAACCCTGTAGAGGGCCAGTTTCTCCAAAAACTATTTAACAATTTAAAAGGAACCACATGGGACTCTCCTTAGTCAGAAACCTGACTAATGATTCTCCAAAAATGTAATTTTTGAAAGATGCTGTGGCTTTACAATTACGTTTATAAAGGGGGGATTAGAAGTTTCTAATTCTTCTATCTTAAAAATTCCCAAATGAGAAAACAAGAGACATGGTAATCATTTGCCCAAGGCCAAAGAATTATTAACTGTAACTGACACAATTAGTTCAGGACACTTTATGACATTTAGTCTTTACATTCCAAAAATCCCCATTAACTACCATATACAATTTTTTAAACAACGAATAGTGAATAAATAACAAATACACAAATAAAAAGAAGATGGGCTGAAGAGAGATCACTAAATTACTGTCTTGGCACTCATCATGGTGATATAAAGCAAAGATGACGTACGTGATGGTAAACTTTATAGACAGCTGGCCTTAGCAGCCTGTAGGCCCTGCCACTCAAAATTCTGAACTGGTGCAGTGCTGCTCTGGCTCGCTGACTGGAAAAACCATTAAAACTGGCTGCTCTGGTCCACTACAAATTCATGCTATCTCACTATCAAAGCCCCTTGATATTGGTCAGTTCTTATTTCTGACTATGTTACCCCACAATAACTATTTTCTATATTGCTCAAAATCCTGAGTGAATTACTAATAGAGCAAGCAGTACCGAGGCCTGTGGTCATGAGTATTAAAATGCAACCAGGCATAAAAGTTGTATGTTTCCCTCCAGCCTCATCGGGTTATTTAGGTACAAAGTAGTCAAGTGTTGGCTTTAATCAAGGTAAAATACAACAGAAGTTAAAAAGGAGTGGTTATAACAGACCATGGAATCTAAAGTGAGAAAAACAACGATACGATGAGGATGATGGACAACAAAGAAGGTTAGGTTCAGGGTGTAATAAAGTTGCTGGGAGCTAGAAATTAGAGGGAATGAGCTGGGAAGAAAGAAGTGGGGGTGCTCAGAGAACAGGATGTATGAACCTGAACTCTGAGAAGTGATTCAGTTACTGATAAATAAAAAGTCTAAAATAAGATGCAAGATTACAGGAGGTTAAGAGGTCAAGGAATTGAGGCGGCCAAATTATCTATTATTATGATAATCATGTGCTTTATCCATGCAGATACTGAGATTGGGAGAAATGATTAACACTAGTAGAAAAAAGACATTATGTAAGGAGCTAAAATCTATAATGAATGAGGGGCCTCACAGGTATGACTGCAACAAGAAGCCACAGCAGTTGATAAAATCTACTTGCACAAGAAACATGCGGCTGGGGCCCCAGAAACACCACTGGGGAGCAAGAATGAGACTGAAAAGCCAACACCTGAAAGAGCTGCACTCATGATGTAATTAGTTTTGATAATCTCTTTGAGGGAGGTGGATAATCAGTTCTAATTATAGAATAATGTGATGGCTAGGGTAGTTCAGAGCCTAGACTAGGGAATCAGACAGCCTGAATTTGAATTCCAACTCGGTTTAGTAATAGAATCTGCTTCACAGGGATGGTGGAAGGGTTAAATGAGTTAATAGGAGTTTTCTTCTCTGGAACAGGCATATATGTGAACTTTAACTAGTATTAGTTATTATCACTTTCAGAGGTGGGTTATGGAATAGTAAAGTGAGCAAGGGCTGGGAAGTAGAGGTCTCCTCAAGGAACACAGGAAACTATGAGTCTCCCTTCTTTCCTGGTACAGACAGAATCAAAGTTGTCTTGATAATCTCCCTCCTCCAAACTTATTTTTTTTTTTTAACATTTTATTTATCTGACAGAGACAGACACAGGGAGAGAGGAACACAAGCAGGGGGAGTGGGTGAGGGAGAAGCAGACCTCCCGCTGAACAGGGAGCCCCATGCAGGACTCAATCCCAGAACCCTGAGATCATGACCTGAGCTGAAGGCAGACACTGAGCCACCCAGGCACCCCTTCTCCTCCAAACTTCTATAGCAACTTTGTACCTCTCACATGAGATTCATTACCAACTGCCTCATATTCAAATTACTGCACGCGTCTCGTGTACTTCTGAATTCCCCACAATGCTTAAAAAGATGGGTTGTGCCATAGTGTGTGTTCAATAAACATAACAATAATGCTCAAAACCACACATCATTTATTTTAAAATAAAATTACATATCAGCCAACAGAATAAACCCATGAAATTGTCAGGATAATTTTCTCCTTATTCTAGTGCTAATCCACTTTAGAATTGCAATCATAATAGTCACTGACAGAACCTAAAATATTTTAAAGCGTATTTATCAGTCAGGGTTGCCACAGAAAACAGGTGGCATACTCAATTTGGGAAATTTGAAAAAAGTTTAATAGACTATTTACAAAGCACAGAGGCTGTAAGGAAATCACATGAGTATAGTTCCCTGCATTAGTAAGAGCAGGGCCCAACCCTACCCACTGGCAGTGAAGGGAGGAAGAGAGGAAGATGTCAGTAACCTTAAAAGGAAGAGGGCTACTTAATAGGAGTTTGACCTTCAATGGAAGGATGCAAAAAGGATACAAGAAATCTCACAGGGAAGAAGAAAGTAAGTATTTTAACCTCTCCCTCTTTCCTCTCTT